TACGAGCCCGAGAGCAGGTAGTGAATTTAGGGATAAAACCTTATACAATAATTGAATTTCTAAGGGTGATGTAAAAATAATTTCAGAAAATCCCTTAAGGTAAATCCCTTAAGGTGAAAATGGTTCGAAAATTTAACGGAAATAGTTTTCTATAACGTTATAATAGATATAACATATTATAGTTTACTTTCCTGCGTATATAACGCTTTATTAAAAATTGTGTATAAGATTAAGATCTATGTATGAATTGTAATTAATTAGTGAAATAATGGTAAGAACAATAAATCTACACTTATCTCGAAAATACTCCCCAGGCTTATGTTTACTTTTATTGTTTTTTGTATCTTTATTAACCATTTTTATCGTTTGGTATTTCACAAAGAAAGGTAGAAAATTTAACACCATTTCACTATTTAACCCTTGAAGTGGTAGTGGTAGCAATAGCTACCATATAAGTTTAAAGTTTATTTTGAAACGACAGCTCCATCAATCTCTATCTTCAGCTGCTCTGAGAGCTTCGCAGAATGAGTTTCCAGCTGAATCTTTAATTTGGTCGGACGATCTAGTTAGTGATCGTCCTCTTGATCTTCTCGGAACGTTTCCAGAAACAATTAATCTCTCCAAACTATCGTCACCCTAGCGAACCACGTAACCAAGAAATTGCAGACTACATTGCAAACATATTGTGGGCGGCATTTTTTATCTTTTTAATCTCCAGTTGGTTTAGAATGGAAACGTTTGTCATATCAGCTATCCAAGGTATGCGCAGCATTTTTTTCCAGTACCAAATCTCAAAGGCATCAATTTTTTGGCGATGGCGTCCGCGAAGAGTCCAAGATACTGCGCCGTATATAAATATTGAGAGTACAAGGGCATTTACTCAAGGGGTATAGTCTCGTCTTGATATTTTGAGAGATAGATCTGTCTTTCCAATCTTTAGTTAGGCGACACATCATATTGTTTGACATACCAATACGTCTATTAGTTATACTAGACACGAGTTATACAAAACTGTCCACTATCTGGTATTCCTGTAACATGTTAGTCAGTTGAATAGTATGGAATCTGTCGACCACCATTATTTTTGTCTTAGCTTCATTGATTTTCAGACCAACTTTATTGCTTCCGTACTCAACTCTTCACAGGAGATAATACATTTCTTGTTTATTTGCTGCTATGAGTGTAGCATTATCAGCAAATCTTAAATTGGAGATTTTCCTACCAGCTACTGTTACTCGACCGGCCCATCCATCTAAAGCCATCCCCATGACATGTTCATCATAAATGTTAAATAAGTCAGGTGACAACACGCATTCTTGTCTAACACCTATCTCGATCTTGAATTGGTTTGAGAACTTCTAATCTAGTCGTACTCTTGCTATATTGAACTGGTGCATATTTTTAATTAGTGTACGGGGCCTTCATAACCACCACTTTTTTCAATAAGCTTTGCCCAAAGTTATAAAAGAAATGGCAAGGCCCAATTTCAGTTATTTCTTAGCTGCCTGTAGAAAGTGGCTTATAATGTTTATATGAATGGCAAATATTTCGTGTTGTTTAAATGGGATGGAACCTACATTGTCTGTTGGTTTCACTGAGCATCTCTTTTTCAATAGTAATTCAAAGCCAGGATGCCGTTCTGTGTTGTTTTTCGTTTTATTTTGCTGAACACGAAGGCACTTATGACAATTAGAAAAAGGTCCAAGAACCTAGTTGGATCGTCGGACATGACCAAATGCACCTATAACTTATTTAAAGTATTTTATTGAATATATGATCTATTTCAGCTTATGGGTAAATACGTCGATTTTTATAATTTTCATTGATAGTTCTTTAATACTTTTTCTGGTGTGTTTTTATGATGCCTTTGAGCGAAACTTCGATCTAATGTTTAATTTATTTTATTCTTGAGTTCCTTCATAAGTGTCAGGTTAAAACTTAATGTCGCCCATTTTATTTTGCAGTTTAGCTTATTCCGTGTTTCTTATTTTTCTTTTGTCAAACTGTTATCTAATTATTATTTGTCTATCGTTTATCTATCTGTTATTTCTCTATAATCTATATATTTACAACCCCCAATGAAGTTCCCAAACTAAGCCACGTGGTCCTCGTCAAGTCTTTGTAAACGATCAGCTTTTTATTTTCTAGGTACTTTTGTTAGCTTTTTCATTACATAGAGACGATGTTTAAAAAATTATAGGACAGAAATGTATTTAAAATTTCCAGAGTAAGTCTCTGGAGAGTTTTCAAACCGATTGGGGTTAGCTTCAAAATTGAAGACAATAAAGAACCTTGTGTGAAAGAGGTAGTGTCGTTCACAAAAGAATCGAGTACTTAAGAAACTATATCAATTTTGAAAAAGAATACGATTTATTTGTTTATTAAGGCGAAAGTGAATTTTTTGGATCTTGTGTTTTCGTTAAAATCAAAATTGGCTGATTATCACCATAATATGAATACGGAGATGTTTGTGAAATGATTTAAAAATTTGATTTAAAGAAAAACTGCTTCCAAGTTTACATGAACCATCTGTTATAGTTTTAAATAATGCCCCATATCATTTGTAAATTGTAAATAAGCAACCAACACATTCCTGGAAAGTACATAAAATAGAATCATAGTTAACGAATGAAAATATTTCATTTGCTCATATGCGACGAAACGAAGCACTAAACCTACAAATTTTCCGTAAAAAGATAAATTGCTGTGTAATAAATATATAGAAAATGAAAAAGTTGCAACTGAGAAAATTTCGAAAGGAATGAGTATAATTGTGTATTACTCCAATACTTCAGAATGAAGATGATGATCCTTGATCTACCCGGTGTCCTTGGTGGCTTCGTCTTCTAGAGTTTTATGTTATTTTTATTCGAAATCAGTCGAAAGACATTACTTTGAAGATTGTCGAGGTCGCTAAATACGAATATTATGACGGCGATGATCTCCGACATCCCTGTGACCTTGGTGAACCTTGTCTTCTGATATTTTATGTTATTTTCCTTCGAAATTAATCAATAGTTATTACTTGGAGCTTTTAAGGTAGATAAATATTATAATAGAGATGATTCTTGAGCTTCCTCGAGCCCAGTGTGGACCTCGTTTCCTGAAGTTTTATAATTTTTTTTTAAATCAGTCAAAAGTCATTACTTGGGGATTTTTGGGTTTACTGAATACACATATTATGACGGCGACTATCTTCAAGGTATCTGGTACCCAGCATGGACCTCGTTTCCTTAAGTTTTTTTTGTTATTTTAGTATTTACGATTTTTATTGACATAAAACTCCAGAAGACTAGGTGAGACACTGGGTACCACATATATTGGAGACCATCGCCGTCGTAATATTCGTATTCAACAACCTCAAAAACCCCTGAAAATTGAGTTTTGACTAATTTCGAATAAGAATACCATAAAACTTCAGAAGACGACGTACACCCCCCACTAGGTAGCTCGAGAATCATCGCTGTCATTATATTCGTATTAAAAGGCCTTGAAAAACACCAAGTTATGACTTTCGACCGATTTTAAATGAAAATAACATTAAATTTCAGAAGGTACCCTGGGCACCAAGTAACCCAAGGACCATCGCCGTTATCATATTCGTATTAAGTGACCTCGAAAACTCTCGAGTAATGACAGTCAACTGATTTACAATGAAATTAACATATTCCAGCAGACAAGGTGCATCAGGAGCACCAGGTAGCTGGAGGACCATAGTCTTTATAATATTCGTATTCAGCTACCTCGAAAACCCCCGAGTAACAAAATTGAACTCATTCCTGTCGATATTTTTTGAGTTGCAAAGTTTTTGTTTTCTGTGTACTTTGGAAATGCATTTTCCTTATGCACAAAATGCAATTTTTGTTTTACTAATACCATGGAAGCAGACTACGACCCACCCTCTATTTAATATACACATCAGATCTCCCAACGACGACCAATACAACAATCGCTACATATGCTAATGGCACGGTTATCATGGCTTCAAATTCTACAGCAACTGAAGCATCCCAGTTATTACAAAATTATCTACTTAAAATAGAGAGCTAGCTTAAACTGTGACGATTCCAAGTCAACAGTTTAAAATCAACACAAATAATGTTTACTTTAAAAAAAGGTGTCGCGCCACCAGTTTCTATAAACAACAATCCACTACCAGTAGATACCGTTGTCCAATAGTCGGGAACTCATTTGGATAGCAAACTTAATTGGGACATCCACATCTGGAAGAAACGCCTTCAACTCAGCTTAATCTACAGGAAAACGTATCGGTACATGAGTAGAAAATCAAATCTTAGCCTGGGGAACAAACTTCTTATATATAAATGTATTTTAAAACCAGTATCGAAATATGCAGCACAAACCTGGGGTACAGCAAGGAATACCAACATACAAAAAACATCCACAGATCATAATGACATAATGCGGTTTTTATTCTGGTGTTTTCTAAATCTTTTCTCGATTTTATTGTTTGTTAAGTTGAAGTTTATATTAATTAATATATCATGGATTAAATTTATAATATTGTCTTAACTGCATGCTCACTACTAGTCGGCTTCCCACAATGTTATTGTACATAAATTATACACATTGCCTATTGTTTGTAATAGCATAAACAATAGAATAAGCAATAAGCATTAATTTTTTTCACAAACTTTCCGGATACTTTCCCAAATTTAATGCAATAAGTTGGACTGCGATTTATCTTTCTGCAAAAAATTGGTAGGTTTAGTGCTTTTTAGTGCTTTATTTCCTCGCCTATCGGGATTCTTTCAAGCCGGAATTATTAGGGATAGCCAAAAGGAATGAAGTAGTTAGACGATATTATACATAGTTTTGGACATAATGGGTTAAGGTTTTATTGATTGACAACCATACCGTACCAATTAATCAGACTTTAGACGTAATTAGATAACCTAGTGATTTCCTCTTGTAGCAATTTAAAAAAGTTGTGCTAACTATCGAAAATAAACAGTACAGAAGAAATTAGCTCAAAGTCATCATTTGCATGTCGCCCAGGCTCTTCTTTGTGAAATGTTTCCCATCGACTTATTTGCACTGGTCGCTATATCGTCCAGCGATCTTTTGGTAGGACTAAAAATTTCATCCGTACTCCTTGTTAAATCTTTGATTTTATCGTTTAATTTGTTGATCACCCATTCCATAGCTTGCCTACCCTTGCCTACGTTATTTGATATTTTGGTGGTTATTAGATCCTCCATATAGTTTGTTAGAGGTACTTCCTTTACTGTCACGACTGCCTCTTGTTTAAGAAGGGTTTTGGTGGGGTCGGCAGGATGTGGAGTATATCTCATGGTTTCGTTGATGGCTATATGTCGGCAAAAGGTGAGATTTATTGATTTTAGAACCATGTATCGGAGAGAGGGGTTTACTTCTGACTGTTCGCTGGCGTAGCAGAGTTTTGCAGAACTTATGAGTACTTGTGCCCATGTAGGAAAATACTAAATCGAGCTTACCAGTCTATGTGTGTGCAATACTCCATCCACTACTTTTCTTTCTACAACATCAGTGCCAATAACTGCTGTATTGTATGATTTTGGGTATTTCCTTCAAGCTGCAGTGGCAACTTTTTCTCATGGATGGTTAAATATGTGTTCACTTGTCCAAATTTTCATGGTTTTGGGTTATGTTTTCTAGAAATATTTCCAAAATTAAGGATTAGACAAGCATCAGACGTAAACCAGACCAGATAGTGATGTTTCAAGAGTGGTCCAGATCACACTCAGATCCCTAACGTTTGTTTAAAATTACTAAATAAAAGAAATATGACTGAATGTTCTGAACTCTGATCATTAAAACGTAATTCAAACAAAGTACGCTGATAACTTGTGGTGACGAAATAGATTCTATATAATCTATATAATACATGATATAGAATAAGGTGTTAAGATTGTCTCTTACCATTGTGAATTTGGTAAATTTGGGTATATGACAAGCTTACTATGATAACTACATTGGACGTAACGGCTATAATGACGCAGCAGTTTTAGTACCATGGCAAGAGGCATTAAATACTGAGACTCCTTCAATTTGGGAAAAAAGTGTACGGAAAAATGAAAAGTTACTAGAATAATGTGGGATATGTGAAAATCGCATCGAAGCAATGAACTCAGTCATCATTTACACATCATTTAAAAATGAAGATACCGACGACAGTAATTATAAATGTAGATCTAATTCTTGATTACACTGTAATACGTTTTCATTTTCGCATTAAAAATAATTTTGAGTTTTTGTTATTTTTTTATAAGTAAATACTTACCTTAACAATTTAAAAACAATTAAATTTGTAATTTTCTTTTATTTTTGCAATAACAATTGTATATTTCACTAACTGCATGTAAAATGCATTATCAGTTAAAACCGTATTTTTGCTTGTCTTCAACAGTGCTTCGAATGTTGGGATAATTTTGTATTAACTTTCTTAACACAACAGACCATTTAATTGAAAAAAAATACTGAATACTAGCCAATATTGTGCGTATTTAAACTATTTCAATGTGTGTATTTTCTATGAAAAAAATTTAAACTAAATGTTTTCAATAAAGTAATCGATATCCAAGAAAATTTCCTTTGTTTCGGCAAGTGTTATGGTATAAAAGTTGGTATTGGTAATCAGCACTGTTATCTAGTTGTTTTGGCCTTCTGAGGAGTTACGGAATGCGTGACTGGAATGCCGCAGGGCATTCGCCATCAAACGCCAGGCTTCTCCTAAGCATCATTCCTTATATAGTTGGAAACGCACCAGAATCTTAACTAAAACGGAGAAGTCTCTCGGGAATCTTTGAAAATTACTATTCCACAAAAGAGATAACTTTCGCTGTAAAATCGCTCATGATACTTTTTCCTTCCACTAATTTTCTGCTTCAAGTGTTTTAATAGAGAACACATGTGGACTACGAAGCGGATTTGAATAAAATAGGAATTAAATTTAAGTTGAAAAATAATTCGAATTGGAAAAGATTACTAATTATACCCACATACAAACTGAACAGAAAAGTGAACATAAATTAGTGATATAACTTAAAAAAATCAGAATGATGTATAGCCCATCTAATTTACTTACCGTTGCACGTCATTATCATTGACAGAGATCGAAGTTGACATAGTTGCCAAAGTATAAAAAAATCCTGAATCCATTTTAAATCAAATAGGTCACATAATTATTGCAAAAGTAGATTATACAACAAAACAAATTAATATTTTTTTTTTACATCCTTTATTTATTGAAATCTGTTTCTACAAATAAAAAAAAACAATAATCAATATGTTTATCAAGTAATTAACATAGGGGAGATCAGTCCAGTGACAGAAATCCTTAACATAAATTTCTAATATATATAAATATTTGAAATATAAATAACAATTTACAAAGACATTTTACTAACATATTAAAAAAATATAGCAATATTTAAAATTAAAACAACACACACAATTATAAGTTGTAGGTCTTTGTAGTATAAGTTGTAGCTATAAAATGATATATTATACGTTTATGTATATAAAGGTATAGAGAGGTCTAGAGGATCACGTCGTTTTAGTCTTCCTCTCCTTGGTCGCTTAAGTAGGTCTTGGGCAAGTGTATTTGGATGGTTTAGTAGTCTATTTTTGTAAGTGCCACTGAGTGAGACAACGGTGTCTTTAATATTTTGGATCTGAAGATCTCGGTGTATAACATAATTGGGCACGTACCACGGTGCATTGGTAATATGTCTCAAAACTTTAGATTGGAAACGTTGAAGTTTCAGTAAGTGAGAATTAGATGCTGTACCCCATATCTGTATACCGTAGGTCCAAACTGGCTTTAGAACACATTTATACAGTAATAGTTTATTATGTAGACTTAGTTTGGATTTTTTATTCATGAACCAATACATTTTCCTGTATATTAATCCTAGTTGCAGTCGCTTTGTCCAGATGTGCTTTCCCCAATTTAGTCGGCTGTCAAAATGTATTCCCAAGTATTTAACATCACTTTTTTGGGTATTATGGCATTGTTTATGCACACAGATGGTACACTCTCTTTGCGTAAAGTAAATGTTATGTGTGCTGATTTGCTGCCATTTACTTTAATTCGCCACAGTTTTAGCCATTTCTCTAGTTTATTTAAATGAATTTGTAAATTTTGACAGGCTGTAACAGGAACCGAGCTAGAAGCCATTATCACAGTATCATCTGCATAGGTAGCGATAGTGCTTTTTACTGTTGTGGGAATATCTGCCGCATAGAGTAAGTATAAGGTTGGTCCCAATATACTACCCTGAGGTACTCCCGATAGAATTGGAGATATGTTTGATACTGCTTCATTGCATCTGACCTGGAAATATCGATTGGTAAGATAGGATCTCAAAAGAGCATACAGAGGATGAGGAAAGTGAGTTTTTATTTTAGATAGTAGCCCCTTATGCCATACTTTATCAAATGCTTGTGAGACATCCAAAAAGGCTGCAGTGCAGTATTCTTTCTTTTCAATCGCATCTCTTGCTACTTTGGCAACTCTATGTACCTGCTCAATTGTTCCATGTTGTTGCCTGAATCCAAACTGATAATCGGGTATTAACTTTTGTTTAAAAGTTAATACCCATTAACTTAAGATTAAACATCCATAAAATAATATCGAAAACAAGTAAGGTTATCTGCAATCCAGTCTGCGATAAGAAAACGGCCCACGTCTCAACGCCAGACAGTGTTGCCAAACTTCAAAAAAATAATATAGAAAGGGAAAACAAAGTAATAATTACTAAATATATAAAAACTAAGTAGCTTTAAGAGGAGAATTGATCTCCGAAGAGTCGATCTGGATTCATTCTCCTATCGTAAAGCAAAAAAAAAATAAAAATTACATAAAAACCATTATATACATAAAAATATTTTTGTAAACTACAATATGTTAAATAAGTAGCTAAAATGGAATGGCAAAATCAAATTCCAAATTCAGATAATATTCTGAATAGGGCCACTCGTTTGCTTAAAAGAGAATTACACAAATACAAAGATCAGGGCATAAATGAATTTCTTGAAAGTCTTACTGCGACGGATGACACAAACTACTCTATTTGGAAACTCTCTAAGAAACTTAAACATCAGATTAAGCATGACGGTCCCATTAGAAATAAAGACGGTGATTGGGCCAAGGCCGATGAAGATAAAGTACAAGCATTCGCTAATCATCTCAGCCAAGTTTTTCAACCACACTCCAGAACTATCTCAGAAGAAGAAGAAGAATTCATTTACAAGAACTTAGATGCACCCTACCAGATGTCACCTCCTATAGAAAATATCAAAATTAACGAAATAAAAGAGTTAGTGAAACATCTCAATACTAAAAAAGCTCCAGGGTATGATTTAATATCAGGAAAAATCTGCAAAAATTTACCCGAAGAAGGATTTCGGTTGGTTATGTATATATTTAACGCTATACTAAAGTTAGGCTATTTTCCGTTTCAATGGAAAATGGCACAAATTATTCTAATACCGAAACCAAATAAAGATCCACAAGAACTATCATCCTATCGGCCAATCAGTTTGTTTCCCATTATCTCTAAGATATTTGAGAGGATACTACTTCAGAAAATGAATTCTCGAAATTAATATTTAATGCAATACTTAAACAAAAACAACACTTTTTTAACACCGTGTCAACATCGAAACTGTCAAATAAGTGTTACCAATTTATGCCAAAATATCACCTTCGTTCGATTATAGTTACAGTATTTTCCAAACAAATGCTCTTCATAAAAACGCTTTATAATGCATTTATACAAATTAAATGAAACATATTATTGTGTGTTTCATTAAGTTAGAAATTAGAAATCGTTAAATATTATTTCTACGCTTGTATAATAAAATATGTCAAGTGGCTGTAATGCCAGTGTACTCGGCAAAGTGATTCTAAAAAAGAACACATCTACCGAATAAATATTTCGTGTTGGTATCATGTGACCTCACAGGCTATAACGCGGATGAAGTGCAATGGTAAGTAAATTAGATGAAGTATATTGGGAAAAGTATTTAAAAAATACCTTTCTACAAAAAATAGAAAATATCAAAATCAATAATTCTACTATAATGTGATCTAATTGGATGGCATATTTTAACGACTTTGTTAAAATATATCGCTACTTGTTATTTCGTAAAATTGTCAAACTGGCTATCTAATTATTATGTTTTAAGTACGGAGAATTTGACTTCTGTTATTTTGTGTCGCCAATACTCACGAATGTAAAGTTTCGTATTACCGTGACAACTAACTTAAATTATCGCCATTCAAAATCGCAATACAATAGAGTGATTT